AAGCCAGAGGCAGCAAGAAGGTAGGCGCCGTGCTGGGGCTTGGAGGCTGTCTTCTTGCATTTCAGAGGAACTGAAAGAAGGAAGGGCCAGTCTCCTCCTTGCTGCCAGACGGTCTCGGGCACATCAGATGCTCACGCGGGCAATGGCAGAGCTCATGCTCCAAGTCATCCACAGGGCTGTTGCTATGGGCACAGAGGCCCAAAGTCTTGTGTTCGAGGTGGTGACAAAAGCCACCAGTCGGGAACATGGGCAAACTCTTGTGGAGTTCTAGTAACTATCGAATGGCTAGTCACTAGAACACACTAGGTTTTCTCGCAAAGCACTGAGTCTGTTGTAATTCTGCCAAAAAAATGCACATTTGAAGGAGGTGAGAAAATTTTGAAATCAGATGCTGAAAGGATCAAAGCAGCCCGTTGTACTGGCTATGTAAAAAAAAAAGTGACTTGAAGAATTTGGATCACTATGTGTGTAATAAATTCAATAAATTTTGTCCCATTTGAAATATTTTAGGAAAAAAAGATGCTTTTATCCTAAATTATCTGGATAACTGCTTCAAATACTTTTGTTTTTCAAATAGTTTTACCTTATCTTCTTAGGCTTTATTGAATTAATTTCCTGAAAGTTCATATAAATGACATTCTCCAATGTTAAAAAAACATATAAGTGAATCCGAATGCTCTCCAGGGATCATGGTAGATTAGGATTTGAGAAGTCTATGAAAGTCTTTGATAGAAATTTTTGGGAAGTACAAATTGTCATGCAATTAACATATATAGGAGACAAGGACAGTATTTAACCATATTCTTCTGTGCTAATGAATATTCTAAATGTATCTGTGATGCCACCAGAAGTCTTTATTCTTGAGGAAGAAGAGCTATATCATTCCGGCAAACCAAAACTACCAAAGAAAAGGTCCACAAATCTACCATGTTATAAAACTTGCTTCTAAAAGTAAACTCTTGGCTTTCTCAGTCCTCTGTGCTCAACAGTGTTTTTACCCCAAATCCCAAAATTGGTGTGAAAGTTTCAGATTATGTTCTATGTTATTTTGAGTTAAATAGCCAAGTAATATTTAGTTTTTTCTTTCCCTCTAATATGTTTATGAAACACTGGAGATGTACAGATATATGACAATGTTATTTAAAAAATGACCTATCATTATACACAATAAAAAATTTATTGTGCGATCAATAGAAAAAAAAATGAAAGGTACATGATCCATTTCTGTTAAATTGGCAGGTAGTACAAGACACCAACATAAACTGTGTTTTATACTGATCTTTCTGAAGGCACCAGTGTGTTGCAAACTATGCCTCTCTTCCCTGATGGTCTTTGTTAGCACATGGACACAAGTCCATATAGACACTTGAATAATTTTAAAACTTCTCTATTTTTCCATTTATTATCTAGTGTATGCTAGATAATACTAGATAATGCTAGATAATATCTAGTGTATGCTAGATACACTAGATAATGCTAGATAATATCTAGTGTATGCTAGATACACTAGATAATAACTTAAATATCCAACATATAATTCAAGTAGCCAGTCTTACAAACAGCAGAGAAGAGGGAAGGGAAGATATATTTTACTTTGTTGGTCACTTGCTGACTACTGTCTATTCTCACCATTTAAATGCACAATGTTCCACTTCACCACTTGGATGCTTTGTTCTTTCCTGGCAAAGGAAAGGGGAGGCTAAGAAGTTAGATCATTTGGATTTGCAGCATTCTGTCTTCTGAGTAGTTGTAAATCATGGACAACGGGCTGAATCTGGGCAAGCCACTCAGCAGCTCTAAACCTCAGTTTTCAAATCAGTTGCAGAGAAAAAACACTTCTGCCTACCTACTTTGATGAGGCATCATTAGGACGAAAGGGTGTTTTGAGTTCCTTGATGAAAATGTATCATATAATGGGAGACCACATGTAGAGGCGTATTTGCATATGCAAGAACTGAATTTAGCATCTAAAGACTTACTTTCTTTAAACTGATAAAGTGTCTACTAATAATGTTGCTATAGTTTTATCTATTTCCTGAAGTTAGGGAGTGAGGATGGCAGGGCACTGAAACCTACTTGGGAGGTTAAAGATGGCGGTGGAATGGGGATGGAGGCACGTGTGTCCTTGGGAGAAGAATGGCCATCCTTCTTGTGGCCATGCACACAAGAGATAGTGCTAGGGAGGGCTGGTCTTCAGTCAGAAGACTGCCAGGCCAGTTCTGAAGACCTCACGGGCTGGGAAGCTGGGGAGAATGAGAGATGGAAGTCTTAAGCAGGAAATGCATGTAAGCCGCTGGGGTTTGCCTTGGGCACAAGGATGTCTATGCCCAAGGGAGACCAAGCAGAGCATGCAAGTCAAAATCACTCCCCTTTCCTACTCTGTTTACTTTTCCCAGAATCACCAGGACAAGTCCAAACAATTCCTCTTTTCTGATAGTATTCCTTACCCACCCAACCTAGAGGACAATGCTTTTGTTTGCTCAGATCAAGGTCAGAGGAAGAGGGAGAAAGCAGCTCTTTCAGAAGACAGCTGGAAGCTGGGATGCCTCACCTCAACCAGGCACAGGGCGGGGACAGGGTCAGCAGAGACTTCCAACCACCGTGCTTCATTAGGAGAGCAGGGACATGCTTTACTGGGCTGTATTATTCCTGAAAAGCTCCCACCAGCCAAACCAGTCCAAGCCAGCGCCTTGTTCCACCCAGCTCTGAGACCGTAGTGCTGGGCCTCCAATCACTATCAGGGGAGGATTATTTCAAAAATAAGTGTATGATCTTATGAGTACCATGTGGAGTGCCCCCCCCACCCCCGCTCACTGAGGGTCCAACATAATATTGGTATAGTTTTCTCTGAACATTTCTCATCTGTTGCTCTTTTGAAAGACTGAACAATCTATAAGACCATAAACCCATAATCTCTAATAGGTTACAGAAGACACTAAGGAACCACTGTTTAAAAATGTCAATAAAGAGAAGGCTACGACTATGTAATCCCTGGTGTCTTGAACTTCCCTTCAGTTAACTGGTGGAATTCATAACAGTAAATCCATCATGAAAAGCAGTTTCTAATCAACTCTGTTCCTTAAATATTCTCAAGTATCACCACTAATTTAACAACCTAAATAAAAGGAACTTTGGCATTATTTGGTACATAGTAGGTACTCAGTAAATACTGGCTAAATGTTACGTATCTGTTGGGAAGAATTTGACTAACTTTATATATTGAAAAGCTCTTTGAGTGGCTCTTCAAATATATTTAGGTAACTCAGAAGTAAAACTAAAATGTAATTATGGGAAACACCTATATAAATAAGCAGCGTTTAATCAAGTGCCTAATGGAGAGTCCGTAAGTGCTTGGAAACCGGATTTGCAGATAATTATCATTAAAAATCATTTTCCCCCTAGTTATTGCAGATCAGGGGTATTTTACTTAGATCTAGGAACTCCTGAAATCATATGGAACATTAAGAGGTTTTATTTTTATGTGCATTTTTTTCTGGAGAAAGGAGCCACAACTTTTATCAAATTATCAAAGGCTTTGTGAGCCAGAAAAAGGTTAAGAATCGCTGCTGTTGATGACAGATTTCAGAAGGCACTCAGATTGCTCAATACATGATTGCTTAATTCACTTGTTCCAATTTTCAGGCCCAGCAAGAATATGAGAATTCCCCAAGCTTAAATTATTCTAATATATAGTAACAACTCTTCGGAGACATGTTATTCAAAAAAAAAAAAAGAAAAATAAAAGAAAAAGAAAAAATTTTTACAAAGGAACCATATAAAAATAGACACTTGGAGAGACTTAAAATTTACACGTATGTGGTGTGCAAGTGTGTACTTTTTCTTAATCACTTCCTCTCACTTATCTCTTGTCCCAGTTAGCTTCCGTTTCCTGGAACTTGGGATATGTTCCAGGTGGCCACAACGATAGATTCCCACAGCAGAACAAAGCAACCACGTGTGAAAGAGATTTCAGACTAAAGAGAAACCACAAATGAAAAGTTCTGAGGCTTACTGCAAAAATTAGAGGCTGCCTTTCTGGACTGTTTGAGAAATATCCTCTAAGTTCCTGGCTGCTCTTTCTAGTAGTGAGACCCATGTTCTCATAAGACCTTCCATGCAGCAAAGACCACCATTTCCTAATATCTGGAAAGGTTCCAGGGATGCCTGTAGTCTCAGGAGGAAAAAATGCCCAGATCAAGAAGTGTCCTCATTGGCACCAGCTTCCAGCAGAGAATCACCTAGAAGCTTGATCCCTCTGAGTTCATGAGCAAAGATGGACGGGCTCACATCTTCATCTCCCTTCGCTGAGTCTACGAGAAGATCTTGTGTGTTGACTGCTCATAAATACTGGAGCCACCAGGAAAAACCTTTTATGGAAAAAGCCTCTAGACCCCAGCATATCTGTAGAGTTAGAGGTGTTGTGAACCCCTAAGATATGTATAAATGGCATGTGTGTGTTTCTGGGAAGAGGCTCTGTGACTTCCTCATGATACAGGCACTCCTGGAAACTCTGCGAGGGAGAGGCTATGTGGGCACATCTTTTCAGAAATCATACTTCATTTTCATTTTCTCAGTCAATTCTTAAGATATTGCAGGAAAAACTATTTAGAAGGCCTAATAGGGAATGTCGCCGCAAGCGAAACTAGTCCTGCAACCTTTTTTTACGTTCCATGTAAAAATACTTCTCAAAGTTAACTGTAGCAAATACGTCCATAAATCCAACCCCAAACACATATACAAATGGCATTTTTTTTTTTCAGTTGTCAAAGACATGATGTGAAAGAAACACAAATCTTCCTATTTCAGCCACAAATTGCAAGAAATGAGGGGTGCCCCAGTCTCTGAAGGGGCACTGATCTTTTCAATGAGGGAATACGAGGCGCCAAATAATTAGATTTTAGAATATTTTAATGTCCATTTCTTCAGTAGATGCATTTTGAAATTATTAGAATCAACAATTTAAAAAGAGTAGAGCAAAGGAAAGATAGAAAACGCAAACAGTTGGTTCTTGCTAATTTAATTTCAGATTCTAGGCATGATGTGATTTTTTCCGTAACAACCAACCAAAAAATGCTTTCCTCAGAATTCTAAAAATGCAAACGCAGACAGATCTTTGGAAACTACAAATTATTACAGCCCATGTAATGGGAAGCACGCGGCCCTTTGGCTCTCAATGTCATGTGCAAATGTGCAGGTGTCGTCTCCACAAGTGAAGTCAGTGTTAATGGAGTCGTGTGCAGGTGTTGCATAATCTGTGCGACTCTTCAAGCTACTTAAGGGTTTCATAACTGATGCTCTACATTTGTTTGCATTGGATAAAATTATGTGCTTGTTTGTACATATATATAATTTGATCTGACCTGGGGCCAAGAAAATAGCAATTGCAACTCAAAGCAACTATTTACACACATTCAATTCTGAAGTATTGCTTCCTGCCCTAAGTTCAGAAGAGGTATTGCCACTCTGAAGAATGCATCCGTCGCATCAGCAGCGCTTGAACCCGCTGCTTAGAAACCCATCTGTCTTCGGCAACTATCTGTTCAACACCAATCGGATGAGACGCACAGCATTTCCGTTGCAGAGATTCTGCGGTTCTGCGTTGAGGTATACTTCAGAGCGGGGAACTGGGAAGGACCAGAGAGCACATCTGGACTGGTTATTTAGGAAGGCTCAGGACATTTTGTAAAGACAACTTTGAACTCTAGGTGAGCCGTCTGTCAAAGGCTCCAGTTTGCACAATGCTGAACCAGACCACCAGATGGTATGATTCTCTCCCTGCGGTTTGCAGCTTCTTGGGTTCCCAGGGTCAGGAATCCTAAACACCTTTTTAGGCAGGGAAGGAAAAATAAAAAGAGTTTGACAGGGAGGAAGTGTGTGCAGAGATGAGCTTTGTAGAACACGTTCTGAGCAGAAGAGCAGAGAGAGACATCGGTAACTCATAGGCAACTGCCCAGCCCCTCAGGTCCCACCGAAGCTAGAGCCTGGGGCAAGAAGGCAAAGGGACAGGGCCACACTCAAAACACACGCCTTAATACTGATGGAAGAAACCCCGAATGCACCCACAATCCCTACGGACAAGGAGAGCATCAGGTAGTGTTTTTAAGAAAAAATAAAAATTCTGCAGTATAAGAATACATTCTTTAGAAGCAAGAGGTATTGTCACAACTATCCTTTTTCCGGCATTGGAAGAACAACGAAGTGACAGTAAAACCTGAAGAAAAATCTTAGTTACTGAGAATGCTCTCAATTCCCCAGGCTGTCGAGATCCTGGCTATGGCTGCACAGCTGGGTGGTCATCCCATGCATGTCCCCTGGGGAGATGGCTGATCAGAATCAATGTTTTGTGATGCCAGAAGTGGCAGATTCTGTATTTAAGGAGGAGTGATAGCGGGACTTAACGCAGATGTGAAAGTTACACACAGGTTTACCAGTCAAAAGCGAATGCACAGGGCACATCGGTGAAGACCTTAATCAGAGAAGGAGCTAGTCCTTGAATTATCCCATGAGCTGTATGTCAGTGTCATCTTAAAAATTACTATTTAGACAGGGCAACTCTAGCCTGAGTCCAGTTCTACATAAACTTCAGACTCCACGTGGCAAAACGTAATTATAAGCAGGATTGGCAACAAGTAGCACAGAAGTGAGTTTCCTAGGGTTCCCATACTACCCCTGGTTCAACACCTCATTTGCATCCAGATGATTCTGTCCCCACATACAGTGCAAGAACTCCATCTAAAGAGGGCTGGCATTCACTCACCAGGCCCGATTCTGTCACAGACAGGCCCTGTGCATGCTGAGAATGGGAGTGATGGAGACACTTCTCGAATGTGTGGCGGCCAGGACCGAGCCGGCACTACCTGCCACCCTTTAGCTCTGCCTGGACCTTCTGCTTCACACCCAGCCGGGTGGGTTCTAATCCGATTCCCACGGTGGCACGCAGGGCAGAAGAAGCGGTGTTCATTTAAAAAACGGTGGTGGAGAGCTTCTCGGACCCTGAGAGCTGGCAGTGCTCCGTAGGGTCCTGCTTGGCCTCTTGTGGGGGAGGTGACCCAAAGTGGCTAAAGCACTAACAAATATGTTCTCATCTTCTGCTGTGTGCCCTCTGCGGCACCCCCGAGCCTATTTCCCTTCACCAGACTGACCTGGCGCCCCTTCCCTGAAACACACACGTTTCCTGATAAATAAATAAATAAATAAATGCAACCCTCGGCCATTTATTTTCATTTCCCCCTCAGATGAGTCGGCCTCCAAGACAAACACCTTCACTCTCAGCTGGAAGACCTCTCACCATGGGGGCAGAACGAAAAGAGCTTTTAAATACCTGAGGCCTGGGTTCACAAACTTGGCTATCGGTTAGCATCTGGAATTCTGGCCTGTGTGTGGAGGTGTGGGGAGCGGGGCACCCACAGCCCACAAGGGCCCAGGTGCTCCGGAAGCCGCAGGGAGGGAGGGGTGCTGGGCCATCCTGGTTGCCGGCTGACTGCTGTTCTCAGCCCACACCCCCTCCCCCGACACCTCCTCTCAGGGAGTTACTGGCACTTAATCTCAGATTCATAAATGCAAGTGTGTGTGCGTGTATATGTTTACATAGAAAGCTCAGGTCACTGGAAAACACTATTATGTATATAGAAAAAAACAAACCTCAAAAACATTGTATTAGCAAAAAAAAAAAAAAAGAAAAAGTGTCTTGTGAGAAAAAGCAATAAAAATGATATCTTAACCACAGCTTTTGTTTTAAAGTCCAACACCACCAATGCCACAATCTCCACCTGCGGCCTCTGTCCCTAGACTCCGAAGCCATGCCAGCCCTGAAGGCACTTGTTCTCCATGCTGCTGAACGGTTATACCAAGGGGAGAAGGTTCCAGGGGGAGAAAAAGGAAAGAAATGGATGGAAGTGAACCCTGAATAACTGTGATCCACACAGAAGTTAGGGCTGCGATGACCACATGACACCACGTCCAGGGACGGAAACTGTGGTGCTTGGAACGCACAACAGCCAAGACAAATATTATTGTATTTCGACGAACAGAGCACCGCAGCGAGCAGCGTTCAGACGCTGCGTCACACACTCTTTGAGACATTGAGCTTGGTGAGTTCATTGGCTTCTTCCATCCCCATTTCTTCACAGTCGCTTTTCTCTATGGCTTTGCCAAATCGACACCTTTCTTCGGCTTTGACAGGCTCTTTCCAGGGTCTCTTTGAAGACAGGTGACAGTCCTTGGCTTGCGTGTTATTCTCAGAACCCAGAGACGTCTTGTCCGAGTTCTGTACGGAAGGCACCAGGTTGGCAATCTCGTCCGTGGGAGACCGTCCGATGCTGCCGTCCACCTGGACTCGGATGTCTGGGGAGATGGACAGCTGGTGCTGCGGCACGACCCCATTGTCCGTGCACTTTGGGTAAAGGTAGGTCTTCATCTGACCTTTGCCTTTGACGTTCACCGTGCCCCTGTAGTCAAAGTCGTAGCCCATCTTGCTGAGGACGCGGTAGCTCTCTTCACTCACCTGGATGCGGCACTCCACCCCCGTGGTGTCCATCCTGCTGGCGATGTTGACGGTGTCTCCCCAGATGTCATATAGTAGCTTGGTGGTTCCGATGACCCCTGCTGTCAGGGGCCCATGGTTGAAGCCGACTCTGAGCTTGAAGTTGAACCACAACATGTTGTTGTTGAAATCGTCCACCACGCGCATCATCTCCTTGGCAAACTCAAACAAGATCTGCAGGTGCTCCTGCGGGTGGCTGCCGTCCTGGCACTGTGTGGCGTTCAGCCCTGATGCGGCCATGTACGTGGCCCCGATGGTCTTGATCTTCTCAATGCTGCTGTAGTCTGGCTTGCTCAGGAGCTCATCGAAGTCCCCGATCAGCTCGTTGAGGACCCGGTAGCACTCCTTGCCCCCCTCGTAGTTTTCCTCGTAGAACTCGCTGAAGTTGACAATGCTGGCAAAGATGACTCCCCCGCTGTCATGGTTCTTGGAGTAGGTCTGAGAAACCTTCAGCTGTTCAGCCACATGGTAGGGGATGATGTTCCTCAGCAGCCAGTCGGCTTGGTCCCTCATGCTCTGGATTTTGGTGCGGTGAAGGTCCGCCTCCACGTCCCCGTGGTAGTGAAGGCGGTAGCTGACTTCGAATTCTCGATTCAGGAACCAGACCAACAAGAGTAGGAGAAAGAAGACAAGAATCACCTCCTGGCCAATCAGGCTGGCTGGTCTCCTGCTGTCATGTGGCAATGAACTATTGCAGGGATTCCTCTCGGAACTGGAGAGGAAAGAGAAGAGAAAGGACGTGCCTTGTTAAGTGCATCTTTCAAAGAAAAGATTACTCTCAGTACTTCTAGGTTCTGAAACAGCTTAGCAAACCAGCAGCCTGTGCAAAGTTTTGTCGAGCTCAAACCTAGGACGACCTGCAGCCGCAAAGCAACCCGTTTCTGTTTGGCTGGCTGGCTGAAGATGTGGAGAGAGAAAGACTAACTTGAAATTGATTTCTTTAATAAGTGCTTTGTAATTGCTTTGTTTTTCAGAATTCTAGCTCATTGATTTTTTTAAAAAAATCTTTTATTTTTTTCCAACTTTTTATTTTGAAAAGTCTCGACCTTATAGTAAAGTTAAGAGACTAGCAAAACAAACACTGATACATCCTCCTGGATTCAATAATTGTTAACATTTTACCACTTTGCTTTTTCCGCCTGTAAACACACACACACACACACACACTCACTCACACACATGCATGCACACACACGTGCATACACTTTTTGCTGAGCATTCTGAAAGTAAGCTTCAGATATCATGCCACTTTAATCCTGAATATTTCAGTATGTCTCCTACGAACAAGGACATCTCCCTATGTAACCACACTATCGTCATTCCTAAGAAATTTAACATTCTCTGATATACTCACTTTTTAGATTTCTAATCCAACTTTAGTTTTGAAAGACTTTAAATTTTATGAAGAATTTTTCTAAGTTCTCTCCTTTCTACACGTATAAATGTTTGGCAAAATACCATCCCCTGCAACCCCACTTTGGATTAGGTTTGCCAAAGTCATTTAAGACAATTTTAACCTTTTTAAAAAGAATATAAAAGGTATCCTCTTAAGAGTAACACATTATAAGAATCTCAAACAATATAAACAATGGAAACTTTGTATCTTTCCTCCAAGGTACCCAACATTGTCCTTTTGACTGTGCACTATTCTAATATGTGTATGTACAGTAAGTAACAACCAGCCCGCACCCTGGGCTTTAGGCTGTGTCCTTTTATTACTGGGAACAAGGCTGCAGTGATAATCCTGTACAGTATCATTGTGCATAGGAATGAGTCTGTCTATGGGATAAGCTCCTGGAAGTGGAATTGCTGAGTTATTTAAAATAAAATAAAAAAATAAATAAAACCACACATTTGCAATTCCACTAGAAATTTCCAAAATGCCCTTCTAAGGGCTGAACCCATCTCTATCTCCTCTGATAAACAAGCCCACTGTCAGGGGCTGTCCTCTGCTGCCACGGCGCTGAAGAATGACAGCTGTGACTGGGAGACTGAAGGTTAGCGTGAGGAGCGCATCCTCTCTCAAGTTTATTTTTAAAAAATTTAGTTTTCCATTTAAAAATACTACAGGCGCATCACACAAAATTTAGAGAAAAAAAAGTAGAAAGGAAAAAAATATTCATCTGTCATCTTACTACCCAGAGGCAATCACTATTAACGTTTGTTAAAGTTCCTTCTAGTCTTTCTTCTATTTGTTTAAACACTGTGATTGTTCTGTTTGTATAAATTTTGTACTTTGATGTATTTCTGAAGTACACAGAGTAGGCGACTAGGTTTTATGTAACGATGGGCTGGATCACCATATAAATATGACTATATATAAAATGGGTAGAAAGCAAAGTGTTTAATGAATTTTATTATGGCCCGTAACTTAAAGATATTTAAAAATAATAAAATTGACCCTAAAAGCAAGAGCCCTGGCCTTGGAATGACGACACCTGGGCTTGCTCCTGGCTAAACCACTGCAGAGTCATAGAACCTTGGACAAGTCACATACTCTTTCTGGATCTCGATTTCCTCACATGAAAACTGAAGACAGGCTGATGTATCACTGATTCCCTACTGGCCTAAGGCTCTGTGCAGAAAGAGTAAGCACGGCAGGCCAGGAGGCTGCCATCAGTAGAAAGTCCTGCTAGCAAAGGTGCCCTAGGCTGGCGTCAGACACCTTGGATAAGGGGAGGTGCCCACCACTCCTTGATAAGAGGCGGCTCACAGTTCCTGGACTGTTTGCACAAACAACAGAGTTTATGCTGAGTACCTGCCTTCCTTCTGAAAGCTTGCAATTTTGGTACATGCTAGGCAAAGAGTGCCTATGTGACAAGCCTCCAATAAAAACCCTGGGCACTAAGTCTCTAAAGGGCTTCCCTGGAGGACAACATTTTATACACATTGTCACAGCTCATTGCTGGAGGAATTAAGCATGTCCTGTATGACTCTTTTAGGAGAGACTCTTCAAAACTGTCACCTGGTTTCCTCCAGACTTCATCTCATATGTCTTTTTTCTTTGCTGATTTTGCTTTGTGTCCTTTTGCTGTAATAAACCATAGCCATGAGTATGACTATGTGCCGAGTCCTGAGTCATCCTAGCGAATTATAGGACCTGAGGTAGTTTTGGGGATCCCTGAAACAGGTTCTATGACTCAATACTTGTGAACCAAGAACCGAAAAAGGCCTCTATGGTAAAATGCACCACACCTCACTTACTTATTCTACCAACTGTCATTTAAACAAATGGTAATACATATTATGAATCTCAAGTACTAAACAAAATAACTATTTTAGATGACAAAAACAGATTTCTGTCTAGCCTCTCAGTCTCTGGCTGCTTTAGAGTAGGAAGAGATTCTGCAATGGGAGGGAGTAAACCTGTCTCTGTGTGAGCCCGTCTTGCTGGGTTAGGACCTTATTACTTTCTGTTTCTCCAAAGTGGTGACACTGAGGAACAGCCTTCTTCACAACTAGATGTCACCAAGGCTTAAAGTTATCTTAACAGCATAACCAGGCATTGTAAATCCCTGTGGGAGAGTGGGTGATGTGTCTGGGTTACCTCCATCCTTCTGCTTCTGTCACTTTTCTTGCTGTGCTGTGGCCAAAGCCAGCAGTGAGGCCTGACTCTGGAGACAGGCACAGGCCAGTCCCCTCTGGAAGGAGGAGAGCAGCAAAATGCAGGCCAGTGTGAGGGAAAGGGGAGGAGACTGTACTGTTTGCTTTTACCTCTGCTTAAAAGGGAGAGTCCTAACACACGGATTTATAGTCAGTACCCAAGGGGGCGCCTGGCAACAGAGGAAACCTGTAACATGCAGGGTGAGAGCTACCTTCGATCTATTAACTCTTATTTCTTATTCTACTTTAGAAGGAGCAAAGGTGATGGCCCGATTCCTAAATTCAAATAGCAAAGGCCAGTTCCAAAAGGAGGAATTTTATGTGACTAAATGTAAGAGTCAGTTTATGACTTCATAGTTGGACAGCAAATCATAAATGAAAATCAGAGTAAAATATAGCATAATTCATTACCATGGAGAAGGATTAAAACATACAGAAAAACAGAAAACAAAGATCACTCATGGTTCTAACTAGCTAAACACTGGATCTGTTAACATTTTGGTGTATTTCAGTGCCATTTAAAATCGATGCTTAGGATATGGGAGTGGGGGGTCACCAGGATGGGGCACAAGGGGGGGGGGCTCTGGGGTCCTTATAACGTTCTTTTTCTTGGTCTGAATGTGATCACTTGTAAAAATTCACTGAGCTGTATTCTTATGATCTAAGTACTTTTCTTTGCATATGTTATATGTTAATAAAACATTAACTTTAAAAAAGTTACTTTGGTTTTAAATTCTATGCCTATAATCATACATAGAAGCACATTCACATTCTGCCTTTGTTCCATAGTCACTTTAATTCTCCTTTCAATGTCTAAACATCCAGATATTTAATTTTTTAATTGCATAAAGAGAAAAATGTCATCATTCATCATTCATTACTAAATCATAACATCTTACATTTTTTCACATATAATGAATTATTTACCTGTAGCTACAGAGCATATGTAATTTCACATAACAAATGAAAACTATTATTTCCCATATTGTTGAATTTAAACAGCTTTTTAAGTACATGTATCATAATTAATTTTTTACTGAAAACTGAAGTTGCTGATGAATTTTCAACATTATCTATCATTATCATCGATATTTGGGGGCATGCAGACTTTACCATATGCTGAATTATCTCCTCAGCAGATAAGCAAAAATAGAATTATTATCTTAAAAATATAAACATTTTTATAGATTGTTGAATGACTTTCCAAAACAGCTGTACCATTCCGAGGAGTAATGAGGCGTGGCAGAAAGAGCATGACCTGGTAGTGAGAGGCCAAGGCTTAAACACTGCCTGTGACCACAGGCAGGTTTCTTAACTGCTCTGAGCTTCAGCTTCCACTTCTGGAGGATGAAGCAAACTCCCCACCTAATGTGTCAGGTAACTGTGAGGATTAGATAGACTTATATTTTATAAGTGTCTGGTAGCTAAAGAAAATTCAACACTACCACTAATTTATAAATGTGCCACACCATCACCTGCACTGGGTATTCACACTGTTACTTTGTGAAGGTCCAATTTAAAAGACCAAAAGGAATTCTGTAGTTATTTTAATGTTCAATGACTTCAGTAGTAACTCTATCTACTACCTACATTTCCTCTTGTGAATCTTCTGTTCTTTTGTCCTTTAAATATGCAGGACTTAACTAGTTCTTTTTTTTTTTTAAAAAACAGTCCCACAAATATTTTTCTTAGTCTGCTTTGATTCTCATCCCGCCAATCAATCTGTCATAAGTCTTTTATTGTGCGTGTGTGTGTTTCTATAATTATTTATAAGGCTGGAAAGTTATCTCTGTCTTAAAGGATTGAAAACTACTTAATTTTATTTTTTTCTAGATTTTTATACAGTTTTATATAATTTAATTCTATTTTCGACTCCAGTATATTTAGAATTTAGTTTGATGTTTATAGTAAAGCAAAGGTCTAACATTTATTATTTCAAATTTCTAGTCAGTTATTTCAAAATACTTTAGAGAATAAAATTAGCACTTTTCTTTGATTGGTGAGATTTCCTTTGTAACACGCTCACGTCATATAAAATTAAACAAAATCTAATATATCTTAATCATATTGTTTTCCCAATAAAATATTATAACTATAATCTGATATTTCAACAAGTAGATATTTTCCACTTACTCTTTTCATAATGTACATATTGTTTTTATTTAAGATAGGTTTTTTTCAGAAGCTTAAGAATAAGCAGTAATAATATGAGTTTCTCTCATTTATTCACATACAGGCACAATGTTAAAAGCTTACCTGAAATTCTGTACTGCATCAAGGTGTGACTCTAGTATAGAACTGAAATTATAATGCAGAAAAATATTATTATAAAAAGCAAAGAAGACAGTATATAAAGCAATTTGAAAAGAGATTAAATAAACAATTTTTCTTTTTTTACGTGGAAATCTAGTTAGACAGTTCAGGATAGTTAATTTTTATTATAATTTCATACTGTATGCTGATTAAGAATAAGAAAAGGTAAAGACAACGATATAGCTAAAAAGCCGTTACATCAGCTATGGAAAGTAAGTGCAACTGCTAAAGAGCAATGTCAAACAGGAAAATTCTCTAAGGCATTCGTTTTGTTGTTAGGACTTATCCAAAGTGTCCTGTAGAAGAAAACTTTGGTCTTGTTCAGACAGCAATGCCTACCGACAAAGGATCAATTTTGAAAGGAACTGCTAGAGGCACTGGCAGATTTCGTCTTACCCGGTAAAACCAGACTTTGCTACTGGTGGTGCTCAAGGCCGTTATATCCCAATTTTAAGGCACTGAAACTACACATAATTAAAGAACTCTCTCTTGGTGTTAGGGAAGGTACCCTAGGCACACACGACCCTGACCCTCTCCACATTCTTGGTAGTTTCTGTTGGGGTCATGCTATACCTGGAACCCACCCAGTCCTGCAATCAACCACAAACTCTCCCACCCAGGGAGCCTCCTGCCTCAACACTTAATCCTCTAGATCCAGCAGCCTCGCTCATTGCAAAGTGGGATGTAGCTCATCTGTGAGCAGCTCTCCTGGGCAGCAAAGGCCAGGTGAGGGCTCAGAGTGGCTTTTATAATCACATGAGGTGTTAAATGACTTTACAGAAAAGGACAGAAAAGAGCTACATCACAAGATGTGAATTATAAGACTTCATGTCCTCGTCTCACCCTGTCCAGACGCAATTGTGACATCGCTGTAATCCACATAAGCGTGTCCCCCCAAAGCTGAGCACAGTTCTCAAAGAATTCTCCCTCCTTTATAGGAGATGAGTTTATATTTTTGTTCAGTGTCCCGCGTGCTCCCAATCCTGAACAGACTTAGCAGTGATGATGGGCTGAATGGGCTCAAAGGATCTTGTGTGTATGAAGGGGTACTGTCAAGCAGAAATTCAACCCCAGCCTCACCCCAAGATCTGTTATCTGAATTCTGGGCAAAGAGGTGATGAGGAGGTCCCCATTACAATGGCTCTCTAGACCCAACTGGAAAAGCCCTATGCCAGTGATTGAAAGACACTGTGAATGGCTGATGATGGATCTAAAAGGTTAAAAGGCAGACTGCTAAATTTCAGGCTCTTGGGAAAGAGCTTTATAACATCCATAATTCCAGATGGCCGCACCTTCAGAAAGGAAAAAGTAGGCTTTCTTTTGCTTAAAGTAATTTAACTACTCATTAAAGTTTCCTTTTAATGCCAGTTCAACTTTATACAGATCCTTTTTATCTTAATTTGCATAGAACTTAAATATCTTTCATGTCATTACTATTTTATTAAGTAAATTGAGGAAGAATATTTACTCTGTCCATCACTGATCACTGCATTGGTTATAGCCAAAGATACACATTATGATGACTTCATCTGATATTGTTGTTACCGTGACAAATCAGATATTTCCTACTTTTGAATTTACTAAAGCAATGGTTCTCAGCAACATTCCCATTCCCAAGGGGCATTCTGGAAACATTGGCGGTCCCTCTGGTTGTCGTAAGAATCTGGGGAGCCAGGAATGTTACCAGTTGTATGAAGCACAGTGAATAACGATCACATGTAACTCTGAAATACCCTGCTAGCCTAAACCCACTATAATTATAAATAAGTAGTTCTTCAATAAATGCTAATAATAAAACATTCTTATAAGCAGTTACACAAAAAGTTCGATATTTAAGAGAAGTGTATGCATAGCAGTAAGAACTGACCCTGTCCCCAGAGGTCTCCCACATGGTTCCTACTTTGTTTACCCCCCCCATGCCCTCTGTCCTTGGCTGTTATCAGTGATATGGTTTTGAAGGCCATCCGAGTATCAGGGACTAAATGTATTCTTTGATATGTGGAGAGATTTCAAGATAAGAGATGTATTTCCAGTGATTCATCATTACTCTAAAGTTTCATGTGATAACATGGGGAACTGCTTTCACACAATATTATAAATAACACCCAGGTCACTTGCAAGACCATCACACCTCTTTTTCCTTTACTCCAGCAATCTGCAATCTGTCTTGGTACATTAATCCTGCTTCAAATAAGAATAGAACCCGCTTCCGCTTTTCACTTCGTATCCACTTATACCTCTATGCCTTCATTTTCTTGATCGTCTTTATAAAACAGCTTCTGCTCTCACATTCCCAATTTCAAAAGTCTTCATTATAAGTAATTTCAAGCAAGTGACTATTGCATTATACCTCTGGGGGTAGTCATCCAAGGGTGTCTATGTGCAAAATACACTTTATGTTATTAAAATTATTTTCTTTTTCTTTCTTTTGCATACCATTCTTTGAGCATTTCACTAAGTTGTTGCCATTGTGTGTTGAAAGCCGCCTCGTGTTGTGACAGTGAGTATCTGTCAGAGCGAGGGTGTCAGTGCTGATGCAAAGGTGCGGTGAGCAAAATGTAAGCGATGCTGGGGAAGGTGGCCTGCCGTCGAGGATGCCAGACTCGGACTGCAGTTGTGTACATACCTGTCCGGGCACAGGGAGATGTAGAGCAGAAGGAGGGGCCCAGCCCCGACGACAGTAGCTAAGGAGGACCGCATCCAGGAGCTGAGCTGGCAGAAGTTACAGTAGTGCACAACGGCGATCAGGATGGCTGAGCCCGTGAACACTGTGAACTGCAATGAGGGGCAGAAGCTCAGTAGGAACCCACCCGCCTCCTTGTCCTGTGGCCCACTCGTCATGCACCACTTGAGCGCCGTGAGATCAAATGATTCCCTCACTTATCTGTTTGTTTAATATGAAAATATTAACAAAATATCCAGCCGTTTCAAGGACAGATCATAAATCATTAGGTTAATTACCCAGAGCTTCAGGGTACAAGTTCACACTGGCACTAAAATTCTCCAGATGTGTGAAAATTGCATTTTGGAGGAAAGGGAAGGTAGGCCGCCCTGTCCGAGACCTACCACTCTGCCATCAGTTACCTTCAAAAAGCCTTTCCTTCAGGCATCTGCTGTGTGTCAGTGGAAATGTAATTTGGTGTTAAATCTCAGAGTAAGCCAGCCTTGGTAGTTGACCCAAAATATAATCTTCCACACCAGCATTAATTCACTCTTGATGGGTTTAGCTCACAAGCTCCTTCTCTGATCACCAGCAGCAGATTAAGGCATGAATTGCTATCTGTATCAGTTCTGCACACCAGCACCTTGTCTTATATCCCTTACAACGCTTCTTTAAGGTGTAAAACACATAAGAAAATAACTGATTTAGACCTTGGTGGACACCAAGAGAGGTAGGACAGGACACATGTCCACTGAGGACTCTCCCCAGGGCAGGGTGGCATTTTATCCAGAATTCATGAGTTTGGTCAAGGATGGGCTTGACCATTTGAACAGGCCATGTGCTAACATCCCTGCCTGCTCTTCTGTCCCAGGCAAGTCTTTAAGAAAGACAAGCTCATGGGAGTGACAAAGAGACTGCAACTCTTTAAGGGCCTATATTAGTGTCCCAAGTCATCAGGCTTGTTTTTGTTTGTTTGTTTTATGTGACGAGGGAATCCAGAAGAGCCCAGAAATAAAATTGCCAAGCCTTTACTCACATGTATGTTTGTCTCAAATTCCGAAGTGACATGTGAATAAACCGCGAGAGCGGGGAGAGACACCAGGATGGCCCCAATGAAGTGGCGTGGGAGCCAGCCGGCTATCCACTCCAGCAGGTGCTTGGTACAAGCCATCACATCCTCCAGGAAAAATACCATCCTGTGACAGGGAGGGGGAGAAAGGAGAAACAGGGTGTTTGTGGGTAGGTCAGGCTGCCATACCCCACTCTCTCCCATGCTGCTGCCTCTGGCATGAACGGCAGAGCCCCCATGTCCCTCACTTTTGGTAACTGGCAAGTACCCTGGACTCGCTCAGCTCATCATACCTTAAGGTCACTTGTTGCATTCTGAGATGATGTGATTGTAAAAAGCCAAGCAGAAGCCCCTATGGGTCTAAATGGAGCAGGTAAGAACTGGGCATGCAGATATTAACAGGCCTTGTGAAAGGTGGCCACCTTGCTGTCATCTGATTCTGGGGCGGGAAGTCTCAAGTAAGCGGTTTGGTTTGGGAGGCATTTTGGAATTTTGTGGGGCATTTTTGGTTGCCACAATGATTGAGGGGGGCTACTGGTATCTAGTGGGCAGAAGCCACAGATGGGAGGCATTCTTAAGCTCTGCCCTGCACCCCACACGACTGCTACATGGACACACATGGAGGTGAAAAATTTGCTGACAGTGACCTCAGTCTAGAGCCTAGTTGCATTAATTTATAAACAGAAAGTGGTTTCTGTGTGGTATTAACATACACTTTCCCAGAAATAAACTGCTGTGTAAATCAAGCAAGGTTACCCTTTGTTTTGTTTGGGACATCATCAAGAGTCATTCAGCATTTCAGAAATCACATCACAGGCTGCAACCCAGCCCGTGGTGCTTGTGCCACCAAACACGCACACCTCTGATGGTCCACATTCGAAGCTGTCACATTGGCAGCAATAGTGCACAAGAAGGCAGATAGCTGACAACTCCATTATGACTTCCCAGGTGGTAGTGCTCTGGCACATTCAAGGTGAAGCCCTACCTATTTTGTTTTAAATGGCTTTCTTGCTGCTGCTCCTTCATATCTGAGTGACGGCATTTCACTGCTTATTTTTGAAGTTGTGCATATAAGTGGGCTATATTTCAGGATAGTGATGCGGACATCATGAAATGTTTTCCATAAAGAAGGAAGCTGCGTATGTAGGGCTGAGAACTATGGTCCTGGAGGAAGAACAGCCTTGGCTAACTGAGGGACTCCAGGGTCAGGCGGGGCCGGCAACAGGATACCAGCAGTGGGAGATGGAGGAGAGGGCAGTGGGGGTCTGACTCAGGAAAGAGACCCACGCACATGGTACCTCTCCAGCCCTCAAGGAGGGTGGAGTGGGGCCAGGCTGGTTGCCCTCACCTCTAGAGGGCCAGGAGCTGCTGCTGAGCTTCCAAGGCACAAAGCCCCATCGCGGCCTCTTGCACACACACTTGCACCTTCAGGCCTGGACACCTGCAGTATGGCGACTGCTCCACTTGTGCTCGTTGTCTGAGAGGAAACTCCGAATTGTGGCCATCTCCCACGCGGAGCCAGGCTCCATCTACCCTTTTAGGTCCTAGACTGTTCTGGTCTCCTGGTACTTAAAAGATAATGGAGTCCTTGGAGTATTTCCAAGAATAACCACAAATATTCTCAAAGGCAGAACGCATAAGGCCGACAAGGAGACAGAGGGAGCTGAGCCCCAGGCAGAAGGCAGGACTGGGAGGCCTTCCACGAAGGTCCCAAGACTGCAGACTTGCGAGGGTGAGACCCTATTTTCCTATCTGCCTAGGATACAGCACAAACAGCTGGAGTGGAGGGACGAGAGGCTAAGCCAAGATGTGAGCCTTTTGGATAAAGTGCCAAGCTCGGGGCTGGACACTGAAGTGGCCACAGAACCAGCCTCCCTGGGGCGCCTACGTATTCCACACTGTAGGTTCTTGTTGGTTTGGGATCCTAAACATAAATATGCCTTCGTGGTCCCGACCTCTCCCAGGCTTTGATTATCCTGGGTAAGTAAACTTTTAAAGTCATGCCAGAAGTCATTCAGGAACACACTGGTCACCTCATTTGCCTGGCCCAGCACCCCAGCATCTGGGTACAACCAGGCCTGGTGTCTGTATGGCCTGCAGCCTTCTGCAGCCTCTAAGACTGAGTTACCCCAGATTCTGTAGAATTGGGTCTGAATGAACAGGGAACAATGGTGTAAACGGGTTTTAAAAAAAATGTTTGGAGACAATGTTAGCCTCAGAGAGCTTGAGAGCCTTATCTAGTTGTAGGCCCCATGCTAGACAGAAACCTGGGTCTGGGCACGGAGGGGAAGGGAAGAGAGTAACAGCAAATGGGTACTGTGTTTTCTTTGGGGTGACAGAAATGTTCTAAGACCACATGGTGATGTTTGCACAAGTCTAAGTTTATTAAAAATCACCGAATTGTAAATCTAAGTGAGCGAATTTGTTATATGTGAATTATATCACAATAAAACTAAATTTAAAAATGAAAAAAACAAACTAGGAGCCTGAGGATGCCTTGATTTGGGTTTCCCAAAAGCAGAGCTGCTTTGAGAGTGGGTCTCAGGCAGCTCGGTGAGGGTGGCAGAGCCAGGACACTGAGGGGCAGGCCCACTGAGAGGGTTGTGTTATGGAGGAGTCCTTTGCTGTGAGCAATGCAGTTCCCCCCAGTAGGAGGGGAATTTAGGGAGATGGCAAGTACTACCTCAAAGTTACCTCAACCAGGGACAGGTGATGAGGTGTGTCCTCTGATAGCCAGGAGACAGCCCTCAGCCAAGAGCCACCCTGCAGAGGCCTCAGTGGGGAGCAGGGGGATGGTAAGTATGGACCCGAGGCGGGCAGGCCGCCAGCCTCAGGGCTAGACCTGAGGTTACTGCTTCCTTTCCTGGGATGTTGGAAAAGAGGAACGGAGAATCAAGGTCAGGGCCCTTTTCCCTGTTTCTGTTTTACCCCCAGCTTCCAAAAGCAATTACCAGTGGGACCCTGATAGGTCCACAGGCTGCCCTGTTGGGAGTGACAAGGCTGGACATAGGAGGTGGTGTGGCACAAGGACCCAGTGTCATGGTGTCCTGGAAGCAGATGGTACAGGTGGTCTGTGTGCAGGTGTGGGCTGTGCATTCACATCTAGTCTGACATGTGCATAGCAGCTGTGAGTTTACTTGGTGTTAGACTGAACCCCAACATCAGCCTGGACGGGTCCTGAGGGGCCACTGCTGTCTATTCAGACCCTCTGTCCATTTTTAAATGGGTTGCCTTTTTATTCTTGAGCTTACAGTCTAGATATTAGATTCTGGTCATTGATATGATCTGCAAATATTTTCTCTCACTCAGCGGGTTCTCCTTCACTTTCTTGATCACAGTGTTCTTTGAACTTAAAAGTTTTGAATTTTGATGAAGTCCAATGTAACTATTTTTTCTTTGGTTGCTTGTGCTTTTTGTGTCAGATCTAAGAAACCACTGCTTGATCCAAGCTCACAGCAACATACATCTATGATTTCTCTAAAGGGTTTTATAGTTTTACTCTTACACTTAAGAGAGGTACCTGCTAATCTGCTGGCAGTCTCCTATCATTTGTACCCACTGCACTTCTTTTTTCTCTTCCTTTTCTCATTCCTCATCTTCCCACTTTTTCTCTTAAAGTCTGATTTGGGAGGTCCAGGGACTAGCTGATGGCATGGGGGCTGCAGAGGACGTTTACCTTCTCTAAAGGGGATATCTACTTGTGCCAAGGGCCAGGGTATACGAGGGAAGAACCTGTGAAGCAGGGTTTGGGGAAGGAAGGAAAGAGGACCTGTCACTTGAAATGAGCTTGCAGAGACAGCAAGCTTCAGACCTTTGGTCAGTTGTGCTGCAGAATGTTCAGTCATAAATTGTTGAACCAGCAGAGGGAGCTAAAGGCTAAAAGCTGGAGAACCACCTGAAGGTGAGCCTTTACCTGACAGACACCACGAGGGACAGCACCTCCAGCAGCAGGGCGGCACCGAAGACTGCCAGTGCGGCAGGCGGGGGAGGCGTGGTGGCAGCCCTGTACTTCAGGAAGCAGGTGATGGAGAGAATCAGAAACACTGTTGTTGACAGAAACACATCCAAGAGGGAGCTGAAGGTGGCACTGGCAAAAGTCTTCACAGGGGAATTCTTCATAACCTGTTTGG